TTCCTTGAGAAAATTTGGCATGTACTGTACCTGATATATATCCAAAATAATCGATATCGAATCGAATCGCAAGCTTGTGAATGAGAATCGAATCGAATTGTGAAATTTGTCAAAACCCAGCCATAGTATTTGATTTTTTTTTCACGGAAATCTTGATACATTACCTGCTAACTTTATTTCTTTGTTTATCAGTTTTTGTATCAATGTCGTTGTTAATTTAACTGTGCGTGTTTTAGTCCTCTGAAGCTGCTAAACAGGCATAATGAGGTGTGGTACGTGGTGGAGGGAGATCCAGTCTGCGGAGAGGAACACACTCCAGACACACACTGAACAGGTAACACACACACACACACACTCTCGACCCAGATGTGTGTCAGGGTTTGATCTGAATGTCTTGGTTTCCTCCTTCAGGTCTCACAGGACGCCGATGATCTTTCTCTGGATGTGTGTTTTGGTGAAATCGTCTTCATCCCTCAAACAGCAGCCTGAATCTCGTGTTCAACAATAATCAAGACATCTACTGCTCTGTGTATTTAGTCTCCTAGTGACTGTCATTTAACCTCCAGAACGACTGTACAGTAGTATTTCAGTGCAATAATCCGCTTCACTCATCTCAGATCAATAAATGTAACATAAATGATGAATGTTGTGTTCATCGATGGCTAATAAACTTTGACTGCTGACATCTTTGTGTCTGTGGCTTGGTTTGTGAGCTATTATTGACTTTGGTGAATAAACACGCAGAGCGGTTCAAGAGTTTGAGTTTTATTGATGCTGGTCACATGACACACTGTAGAGAGACGTCAGCGTTCGATTGGTTGAGCTTTGATGACCTCAACACCACCATGAAGACCCGCTCATCGCGCCGCTGGACATTATATCTATGAAATCATAAGAGAGGAAAGATCTCATTAGTAAAATCTCACGTATGTCTTTCTAAACTGACCTTAAAAGTGTCTCCATAAAACGGACGTAACTCGATCAGTTACGTTACTGGACTAAAATAAAACGTAGAACCAGGTCATTTCTTCAACAAAATAACCGACGTCTATTTTGTAAGTGTTAGCCTGCAGCAGGGCTATTATCGTTAACTAAAATTAAACCTAAAACCATAGAAACACATCTTTGTTATCTGAAATAAAATAAACGTCAACTGAAATAAAGGAATATATTAGAAAGCATGACCCTCACAGTGCATTGTGGGTATTCGCTAGCTGTTGGGTGTACTTCGGTTATAGACTCGTTATCGCGGTGCATTATGGGATTGAATGAGGTTTATACCCCAATTTAAGGGCATAGGGGGCGATTTTAGACACAGTTTAGACCAGATAAACACAATCGGCGCGCTGTGACGGATCGTACCTCAGCTGCTGGACTGCCTGATGACATCACTGCATCCGCTGCTACACCCGCCAATGACATCAGAGCATACCCTGTTGCTCCGCCCACCGCCGTCTCGCTCGCGCCGGAACCACCTGACTGCGCTTCAGAGGGGGCGGGGACTTCGACTCCGCCCCCTGCACCTGCGACCAATCACAATCATGATCACAGACACTCAAGTCTTGTCATTTTAATAACAGGTGTAAGATGTAACAGAAAACAATGTACACTAAATGTAACAAATGTTTTAACCGATTCAATTCTAAAAGATGAACCATTAAAGAACAGTAATTAAGAATCAGAACATCTTACGATATGCCGTGTTTTAGTCCAAATTAAAACGTTCAATTGTTTTAGTATGAACAAAGGTTTGAAAATAAATATGAAGTCTGTAAGTAATTGGTGTTGTTTGATAAACATCTGAACAGCTGTTTGAAAATGCGTAAAAACGGACTTAATTTCTTCTGTGACAAGTGAATGTCAAGTGAAATACATGATTTGTTAAATTTAAGGCAAGACCCTAAAGGTGAATAGAGTAAAAAGTTAACTAATAAATACTTCCATTAAGAATTGCAAACATTTTATATATTACACGTTGCTTGAAATATTATGTTTAAATATGCAAATGATGAATTATCTAATATCCGATGCACAAATTTGCATACATTCAAAGTATATTAATCTGAAGATTGCATAAAGCCAGGCTGAAAATTCTAGTTGGATATTAGAGTTTTTCCAGAGGGGATTTTGGATTTCTATTTGTATCACTCAAATCAGAAAATACTGACGACAGACAGAAAACAAACACATTTGCACCATGTTTTTAGGAGTAATATGTTGTATGAATCAGTGTGAATGATATATGAACAAACTACTCAGTACAAACCATCAGAATATAGAGAGGGATAAAACTGTAAGTTTTGGTGTTTGTAAGTGCTGTAAGAAAGTGTAAGAAAGCTTTGAAAATATGTATTGGAATTGAAATCTACAGATAAACCGATAAGGTGCATTAAAATAAACACTTAAATGTGTATTTTGGATGTTTTCTTTCCACTTGTCTGAATGTAGACATGATTATGGAAGCAAAATAGACCAAAATCTCAAAAGTGATCAATGCATGAAAACAACAACGTTTCTGTCTGTAGTGTTTCGCGTTAGCATTTACATTTATGGCTGTGCGCGTTCACTACCACGATTTAACATATTACCAAATATCAGTTTTGTAATCAGGTTTTTTGTCGTAAAGGTCTTTGCACACTGAGTCCGAAATTCTTGCCCGAAATATTCACACGTTAAAAAAGAAATACGACCTCACGTTGTGTCAAACACGTTTACACACTGCATCTGAAACTTTCGTCCATCATAAAAAAAATTCGGATCAGATTTGTTTTTCTGCGTTTTCGCATCCGTAGCAAGCATTCTGATAGTAATGGATGACGAATACAAAAAAACGCATACGAAAATTTTGGACCCAAGGTCATCGCACACTGAGTCCGAAATCTTCGTCTGAAATTTTTGCTCGTTAAAAAATAAATGCGACTTCACGTTGTGTCAATCATGTTTACACACTGCCTCCGAAACTTTCGTCCATCATAAAAAAAATTCGGATCAGGTTTGTTTTTCTGTGTTTTCGCATCCGTAGCAAGCATTCTGATAGTAATGGATGACGAATACAAAAATCAAAAAGAAACGAAAAAACACAGTCGGATATTTCGGACTCAGTGTGCAAGGACCTTGAGTCCGATATTCTCGTCCGAAATATTCGCACGTTCAAAAATAAATATGACCTCACGTTGTGCAGGGCTGTACAGTGCATATATGTCGCACGTGCTACGAAAAAACTGGTCTGTGCGATGAATAAATTTACCACTGTAGCACGTGTGCGATACAGTTTTGCATGTTCATAACACAGCGCTTAATAATGTGAAGTGATTTCGTTGTGCTTGTTTGTGTGTGTGAGGTTGATTATACTTGGTAGTTAGGGGTGTGCGATATGACCATTTTTGAATGTCTCCACAATCTGTCTCAATATAATGTACAACGCCACATGCATTCACATCAGTGTTAGCTCAGCGGTAGAG